GTAAATATGTTGGTAAATGGATTGAAGGATTCACATCAATTTATTAAATTTCTTTTGTTTTTGTGTCAAAAACAAAATTAACCTCAAGCGTTGAGCTAAAAATTATATGCTAAAGTACCAACATTTGAGATAAAACTTAAAAAAGCCTTAATATATTATATAATAACTAGGGAATCTTTATCTGGATTTTGATTGGTTAACTTGTATGGCAGCTATATGCTATAGTTGGCCGATATCGCCGGTTCCCATAAATAAGCAGCTTCTTGGGGAGAAAATGATGTGTGTTAATTTTCAGAACGCTATCTCTAAAACTAAGTCACAAGTTCGCGTTCATACAGACACACGGACATAGCTAAATCAACTTAGCTCGTCATGCTGATCATTTCTATATGTATGTACCACATTTACTTCCTAGGTCCACAATGGGTGTTACAAACTTTATTGCAAATATAATATGTATGCTCTATTCAGGGCAATGGACAGAATAGAAATAATTAAAATTTAGTTTCAAGTGATTTTGCCGAATATTGTATACTATTTTACCACATTTTTCCTGCAGGGCATCAACGTTTGTGGTTTGTGTACATACGTACATACATATGTACATGCTCAACAGCGTATTGAAACGTTTCCAATTAGTTTTCGCTTGCGCTTTTCAGTTATGCAAACGTATATATATATATATATATACTTTTGTAGATATGTATGTAAATATTTAGTATATGTTAAAAATAAACTCAATCACATTTGGTTCACTTATTCATCCAATTGGGTTCTACAAATCACACAGTGTAAATAATTGCGGATAGCAGAAGAATTCAGTTTGTGACGAGAGATTGTGCCGCCAAGTCATTGTCAGCAAAATTTTTCTTACTTCGCGTCCAACGATATTGAAATTAACACATACGCACACATATACATACACACAAACATATACATACGTACACAACGTAAGCAAAACATAACGTGTTGCCAATTAGCGGTGAAAAGTTAAGCAATGATTTTCATAGTGCGTGAAAAAGTTTAAAATTCGTGTGGAAAAATTAAAATTGAAAAGCAGAATATAATTAAAAGCTATGAACGCCATGGGTATTTCAACAGATCCCACGCTACTCGATGTAGAATTGCCAGCCACGCTTATTGAATCGCCCTCAGTGTCGACATTCCTGCCCGAGGAGGAGGCATCCACCTGTCCGCTATTGTCCACTACAAATGGCACATCAACGCCGGTTACATTCTCACATCCGCTAACACCCTGTATTGACAATGACAGCACAGCTTCGGCCAACTTGTGTAATGATGAGGATGCGGATGCCAAGGTCGAGACAAGTTCATCGTCGGGCAGCAGCTCCGGCATTGGCATGGATGCGCCGGATACGGCGGCCACAACGCTATTCCACAAAACACACGCCTACCAACATTTGCAAGTCAACAATGGCGGCGCAGTGCAGGTAAGGCTTCCAAAATCAGACAACACAATATGGCCAAAAATACATATAAGTACATATGTATGCATGTGAAACAATTAGTGGGTGAAAGTTTTTCAAGAAGCTCTATTGAGGGGCATGTAATCATCTACTTCACATCTGTGTTGTGTTTGGTTGGTGTGAGTGGGTGTGTGTGCAAGGCAACGTACGGGTGATAATGTCAAATTGCTTCGACAGCACGTTGAGGCAAAAAATATTGCTGCAAAAAACGTACGTGCCTACCTTAGCACAGGCAGATAACCGCACGTAAACGTCATTGAAACTGTTTATGCGTCAAGTGCACCATTTTACTATGCTTTTATTTATATCTATTTATATTAATTTTTATTATTTCCTTGTTTTATTAATAATATCATAATATTTTTTGTTAAAAAATTTTCACAGCAGTGAAATTTGTGCTATTCTCTAGCAAAATATTGGGACAAAATCCACGAATGCAATCCACATACATCGTAATTGGCAGGAGCAATGAATTTTCTGTTTCTTGTGTGTGTGTGTGTGTATTTACAGTTGTTTGCAGCATATTGTATAAACATTCATACATATATAAATGCTGCTTTGTACGTGCTTCCATATGCACATCTAGTATCATATCGATAACAGGAACCCCGCTATACGTGAGTCTTTGTTTGTGTTCGCTTCACCGTTAACAGGTGCTTGAATCAATCATCAACAGCATCGATTGAATAAAATTTGGTGCATGATTCATGCTGACCGAATGGAATAATAGAAAACGTTCATATTTTATTCTACATCTTTAAGGTCCAATAAATAATTGGTGCATTAAATTCAAAGTTTTAGTTAGCATAGTTAGAACGATCGGATGAAGCTCAAACAAAATAAAACGCTAACTTCGGCTGCAGCGAAACTATAATACCCTTCACAGGTTCAAGTTTTCTTAAAAGAACTTGATTTTGTTCGGTCGGTTTGTATGGCAGCTATATGCTATAGTGATCCGATCTGAACAAATTCTGCGAATATTGTATTATTGCTTTAGAGCATAATACAAGTGAAATTTCATGAAGATACATTGTCAAACAAAAAAATTTTCCATACAAAACTTCATTTCGATCGATCAGTTGGTATGACAGCTTAATGCCATATTAATCCGATCTAAAAAATTTATTCGGATATTATAGCATTGACTCAAATAATATTCTATGCAAAATTTCCTGAAGATATCTTGTCAAATAAAAAAGTTTTTCATACAAGAACTTGATTTTTATCGGTCAGTTTGTGTGACAGCTGTATACTATATTGGTCCGATCTGAACATATCTTTCGGATACTGTATTGTTAGCTTGGAGAATAATTGAAGATGAAGATATCTTGTCAAATAAAAACAAGAGCTAGTTCGCGTATATACAGACGGACATGGCTAAATCGGCTCAGCTTGTCATGCTGATCAATTATACCATATACGTACGAGTATGTATGTATATACTTTTTAGGGTTTCCAACGTTTCCTTTGGGGTGTTACAAACTTCGTGGCAAATGTAACATACCCTGAGGCTTGTAAAAATTTCCATCAGAGTAAATTTTATCGAATTTTTTTTTTTTGATAATTTTTTCACTTTCAATTTATTTACGCGCAATTTTTTCATTACATCTTTCGTGATTTATATCTTGTGATGAGGTGACTAACCCGGCAAGAAGTAAATCCCAAGTTAGTCATTGTAAACGATGCTACGGACCTTTGCTCACTCATTTAGAAGCTTAAATGAGCTTTCGTGCTGGGTTTCTATGCGAAAGCTAACTTCTCATTATCCCTTGATCAAAGAATGGTGTTAATTGAGAAGTGATAAATGCACCTATGAGGCATAATAAAAAACGTATTTTTATGTTCGCTTTCATAAGAAATTTATCCGTCAAACGTAGCTATGTTAAGTGATTTTACACTGTGACGGTAATTAAACCAAATGTTAGAAATCATGCATCTCTTTTCTTCTTTTACGTGTGTTTGTTATGGAAAATTTACCGTTATCGGTGATTCATATTTATTCGATACCTTTATATTCCGATCTAGTTTTCCTAAGGTTATTCATAAGCTGACTTCTGCTTTTTTTAAATATATATAAAAATATAAATGCAATGAGAATATGTGCCATATGTATATACATATGTTTGTAAGTTTATATATATTCAAATATTTACAGTAAATGTCAGGAGAAGCAATGTTGCACGCCGGTAAGCAAGACTATGTGACCACGTGACTCCACAATTATTATCGTGCATCCACTTTATATGTCATAATCACACGCACGCAACTTGGGTTTCAACCCAATAATATAATATTTATACTCTTGCAACATGTTGCTACAAGGTATAATAGTTTTGTTCACCTAAAAGTAATCGAGTTAGATATAGGGTTATATATGTACTTGTATGTATATGTATATAACTGATAAGGATGACGAGACGAGTTGAAATCCGGATGTCTCTCTGTCCGTAACTTGAGTAAAAATTATGATATCTTGATGAAACTTTGTACACATGTTTCTTGGCTAAAAGTAAGGACGAGTTTATAGATGAGCGTAATTAGACAAGTGCCACGCCCACAAAACGCCATTAATCGAAAACGTATAAAGGGCCATAACTGAGTCGTAAATTAAGATACAGAACTCAAATTTGGCACAACGAATCACATTAAGGATTGGCACCAGTGGTTTGAAACTACTTAAAAAGTAGGCGTGGCTCCGCCCCTACTAAGTTTAATGTATATATTTTCCAAACCATTCTAGTTATATCGCGCAAATTTGCACAGGACAAATCATTTCGACAATTCTTCCGACAGTATGAAAACAGGTGAAATCGGATTATAACCACGCCCATATAACGGTTTTGTTAAAAGCTACTAAAAGTGTGATAAGTCAATAACTAAATCCGTCAGAGACATTAAGTTTTACATCCAGGATCAAGAAAGTTTAATTGGAGCCGCTGTTAAAATTGGACGATGGGCGTGGCCCCGCCCACTTTTAGGGAAAATCAATTATGATTGGAGATGGTATGTGAGGTACCTTGATGACACCCAAGGAGCATTTCTTTTAGTATGGGGCATGTAGTATTCTCAAAAATAGACGAAATGGGGTCAAAACTACCCCCAACTCCTATATAATACTTATAATAGTTTCCGTTCTCCTAAAAAGTTTTATGCCGAATACGTCGTTCAGTGTCAGAGTTATATATTTAAAAACTTTCTTGAAAATACGTTCTCAAGTATATCTGAGAAATTTCCAAATTTATACAATCAGCTCTTTCCTTCCTCTGCCCACCAAACCGTTCAGGTTGGTCAAAATGTGATATTTTAATGAAATTAAATGGAAAAGTTTTCTAAAAAAATATGTGATTTAGCGTGAATTAGAATGGAATTGGTCTATATCTTAGTCTAAACCTCATATCTCTAATATAATAAATTCCGATCCTCTGGTTGACGTTTTCCACAACAACTAAATATTTCTATATTGAATTTAGCATCTTCGTTGATAACACATACATATATCTTAGTGGAAGATGTCTTTAATACAATTTTAGCTGACACGATCTTAAAGATAGCAATAAAATAAAGTCTAAGTTAAGGGCCTTCAATATAAGTTAAGAAGATAGCAAACTTGATTGTTAGTTATTCACGATTTCTTTGAATAAGAAATGTTGAATTCTTTCGCAACATTTTTATACCCTAACAGGGTATATTATGTCGATCTAGTCGATTTAGCCATGTCCGTCGGTAGTCCGCACTAGTTCTTTTCTCACTAAGAAGTGTATTTTTGAAAGGTATTATAGCGTCGGTGCAACCGAACTTAACGTTTTTACTTGTTTAATATAATATATAATTCCACCAGCACCTTGAATTTTTGCAAGAGTATAAAATGTTCGGTTACACCCGGAATTAGCCCTTCCTCACTTGTTTGCTATTATTTTATTTACTTATTTATAAATACATACATATATATTAACATACATAAAATTGCAGTAGACGTTAATATTAACCATCGTCAGCTTTCAGTTCGGGGTTGAGAGTGACGATACAAAACTTAAAGTGAAATGTTTGCACTTTAAATTGTAGAGTGAAATTGAAATGTGCAAATTATTTAAACAATTAAGTATCGAAACTGTAAATAAATGCCAGTTAGATTACGCATTGGCATGTTTAGTATTTTTGCACAAACGCTTTATTAACTGTAAAACAAATTAGGAGCCTATTAATCCATAATTGAGACTCGGAAATTGGTTACCTGTTGTTGCTCACGGATGGCGAGGGACTCGTTTTTGCTTAATTTCGTTTTTATTGCATTTTTCCAACGATTTTGGCAAAAAGTAAACACATCATTGCTTTAGGCGAAAAATAATATGAGGTAGGCACTCATCCTGGTTATGTATCAATTGAAGCTATTCTTCAATATCAAAACGCTGCTCTCAGCTGCACCGAAGCTATAATACCCTTCACAGGTGCATTTTTTATAGCCAACAGGAAGTTTGAAATTATTTTATATGGTTTTATTCAGTTTTGTCTGACTTAACTTAAACTTAATGAAAAGTTACCTCATAGATTGGTCAATATACAATATATGGTAAAAGGTCAAGCCAATGTTTGAAAATCCGAATATTGGGTATATGGAGATTAGGGAAGGTATTGCCCAGATTTCATTCATATTATGCAACAGGATACACTGTCATTAGAAAGAGATAATTTTTTTCAATTTCATTAAGACACTTAAATATTGACAGACAGTGCGTTATAAAGTCAACCGGAAATTCGAAAATATTCATATGTATCAGGTGTATAGGAGTTAAGAGAAGAAAGATTTAAGCTATAGACCTCACAGATTGACCGATATATTTGGTAAAAATCAACCGTATGCACTAGGGTCCACATATTTGGTGTCTGGGTCCCTAAACGCTATAATGCGATTTCGAAAATATTCGGACGTAAGATGGAATACCTTGAGGGCACTATTTATGCAAAGCTTTATTATGATAACTTCATTGATATATAATATATATGTACTGTAAAGTCAAAAAATCAGAAGGAATTTAAAATTTTATGTATGGGAACTAGGAGTGGTCAAAATTGATAGTACAACTTGTAGTCCTGAGATATGGGTTTTCACTTAAAGGTGTGCGGTGCCATGCCCCTTGTCCATTCTAATCATTTATTTATATATATATATTAGGTCTACCGAAATGTTCTGTCCGTTTATTTTATCAAATTTATTTTTACAGCCTATTAACTTTATTGAATAATTTAATTGCCATTATTATTAATGATCTCTTGCCAGCGGGAGGGCAATTTTCGGAATTTGTCATCTTTTGATTCGAAAAATTGAATCAGTGCTTGTTTGACATCTTCTTCATTTTTGAATTTATTGTCAAAAAAATTTGTAAGGACAAAAACAAGTGAGAAGTAATCAGAGGGTGCTATGTCCGGGGAATATAGTGGGTGCGATAGAATTTTCCAGCCTAATTCTTCAATTTTTTGCCGAGTCAATTTTTGACAGTGGCGTAAATGAACTTTATCGTCGCCATGGGTATACTATTTATAAAATTGCGGGAGACGTAATATTTCTCATGAATATTTAAACATAAAACTATTTTTTGCTTCCACTCGACCCGAAGTACTAAAAGGTTTTGCTAAAGTCCGGAAATGAACTTTGGCGAATTTCGATATGGATAATGAATAACTAGTTGTTATCGTATCTTAATAATTTCAAAAGACGTTACAAATCTTGTGTACGATATTCTTGCCCAAGTTCAGAAATTTTTGGAAAGAATTAATGATTAGTAAAGTGAAATGAATGGTTGCTCATCGAATGAGGGTTCATAGCATTTTAAGTATCAGTGCTATGGAAGTAATTTATATCGATGATCAAATTCTCGAACAATTTAGCTCATTCAAAAAATGTCACTTAAAAATTGTATTGGTATGGACGTGAGTCGGATCTAAATGCCAAAAATTGTATCGAGTTAAGGTTTCCTGGCTTATTATTAGACATTTATATATAAATAATTTAATCTTTCGACATGTTTTACAAATAATATAATCAATTTCTGCCCCCACTAGGATTCAAATGGCACAAACGGTACACTTTCAAAGGACACACCTTCGTTCGTTTCATGGAATTGGCCGCTGATCCGTAAATGCACATTCTTCGTCTTCATGTCTAGCTTATTAGCTATGTGTGCCATAGTGGTGGCTATGATTGTTACCCTGCCAAAGACCTGCAATCCAAAGTGAGTAGTACTAAAAAAATATTTGTTGAACAATTTCTTGAATTTTGCATTTACGTATATTTTTTCCAACACACAGAACAGCTTGGTATCGCGGCAGCGTCTTCTATGAGATATTTCCCGCCAGTTTCCAAGACTCAAACGATGACGGGATTGGTGATTTGCGCGGCATTGTGCAGCGTGCTGACTACCTGGCCTCACTTGGCGTTGCTGCTGTGCGTCTAAATTCGATATTCCCCTCAACTCACTACCCCGATGACTTTACGCATCCAACATCGCTGCATGAGGTGGCCAAGGTCTTGGGTACAGCACAAGACTTACAACTGTTGGCAGTAACACTACACGAGCGTAACATTTCCCTGTTGCTTGATCTGCCGATTAGCGGTTTTATTAAAAGATTGGATGAAGCCACAACGACGAAGCCTGCAATAGTTGTGGCTCTTTCAACAACACAATCAAATAATGAAACCGAAAGTACTTACAGTGGAAAAACAGCAAATGTGGCTACCAAAACTATACCACAACTACCGATCTCTTCGGCTGGAAATGTGGTCAGCGATGCCATACTGAAATGGTTGCATCTGGGTGTGGATGGTTTCTATTTGAAAGGTTTAGAAAATTTTGTCGATGACGATCGTCTGCTAGCTAATTTGCATGAGTGGAAGCAGCTTGTCGGTCCTGATCGCATACTTATCGCTAATGAGGCACTAATACAAGAGTTGCATCCCACGCTGAGTCCATTGGCACTACAACACATCGATTTAGTCGACGTGCACTTGGACGTTTCGAACGGCACAAGATATTTAGAGCATCATATCAATAGACTACTTAATGGTCCACTCGCACCCGTCGAGGAGGGGCCATGGCTGCATTGGTCCATTGGTGGCGTCGATCAACAACGCTTTACACGCTACGGCCAAAGTAAGAATATTACTTTGGCTGCGACTGTTATGCAACTCATGCTACCGGGCACACCCAATATTTTCTACGGCGATGAAATCGCATTGGAAGCCATCACCGATCCACAAAATGAGCATAACGAGACTAAACATTTACACCATCTCGCCACTATGGAATGGTTGAATAGCACGAGGCAGTTTACGAATCGTGAGACTTTGCCTTGGCTTCCACAGACGGCGCAATTTAGTCATGAAAATTTCCAAATAGTCACGAAAATGATCGAATTACGTTATCGTTCACCGTCGTTGTATAAGAATGCCATTTGCAAACCAGAGAAGACCCTATCCAACACAGAAATACGTTGCAGCAACGATGATATTATTGTGGTGGAGCGTGTCTATCCCCGTCGAAACTCATTTGTATCGGTTTCGAATTTCGGTCAGAAGCGTGTCTCCATGGATATGACAGCCATGTATTTTAGTGGCGTAAAAATGCTGGAGCAAGAACAGAGCGAGAAGATTTACTTTTCCAACTTCGAGATCGGCCCGTGGGAAACAATTGTTGTTAAACTAGATAAATAAGTGTGCAGACTTGGTGAAGCGCTTGAGAGTTGCGGTTTAACTGCTTAATGTTAATAACAAAGTACCGTTTGTTTATATATTTTTATAGATATAGTGGCCAAAAACTTGCTCATAAAGCGGTAAATAAATATGTGAGCTTTAAGATTGAAGGAAACACGTTTATGTTCTTAATTAAACGCTGAGTAAGTATAAAGGTATTTATTTTGTTTTCAGGATAGCGTTATGTTCTAGTTGCACTCTGTAGTTCTCTTTTAGCGAGATGACTTTGTTATAACGATTTTCGCCAACAAACTACTACCTATGGGAAACGAATAGCAGAGGGTTATTCAGAAATTCCAATAGCCTTGCATCTAAAGCAGGGTGAACCCCTTACCTATTCAGCTTTGAACTTGAAATACTAAACAAAATCGTTGCATATAAGACAACCACAAGGACGCTAACTATTTATTTTCTTGCTTCTTCCTCAAATTGACTCTTCTTTATTATGGTTTCACTCTTACGAAAACATCAGTTTCTTATGCTGAAATTTAAACTGAAGAGCCGTAATCGAAGTTACAACGGTCAGGTCCTCAACTCTAAAAACCACTCCAAAGGATTGTTAACAGGATTTTAAATCGGAGACATTTATTTAAGGAAAACATTCGAAATAGTTAATGATACGAACTAGAATATGAAATGAGCTCGTTATTTCTCATCATCATCAGACTTTTGAAACTATTCTATTTGAGAAACTTCACTAGAGTGAAAGGTGTTCAGTGAGAGGCGAAATATACTCATTTGACGTCTAACATTGAGAGTATCATTTGTTTGGCACATCCTACGACCCCCACTTCATTTCAATTTTTTTATTGCTGTTATTGTATCGATATTAACATTCTCTAAATAGGTGTGGAAAGTTCTGTTGGGTTTATCAACTTTGACTCTGCTCATATCCGGATCCGTTCCGATTACATGGACTCTGATCCATTCATTAACTGTAAATTTGGCAAAGGTCCAAGCATTTAGTTCAGCCATAAGTTATGTTACAAGTTCAGGTCGGTATTGACGACGCTGCTAGAGCCAAAGACTTTTTGAGACTCTCTAAATTTTTGTGAGGTATTTGACAAGTCCTATTTTCAGCCTCTGACCATAAAATGTAGTTCAGTAGGTTAAAATCTTTACTTCCAGAGGGTCAATCAGTTGCAGCTAATGAAACTAGGCTTTTAATCCACTGCTAGATGGTTTTTGCCTTGTGTGTTGGAGCAGAATCTTGCTGAAAGATCCTATGCTTCCATCGAAGATAGTATTACTTAACTGCTTTACCAAGCCTTCTAAAACATCCGGCTGGTACACTTTTTTCCAGTTTTAATCCCTTTTTCACAGAACTGAAGAGGTGTAAGGCCTTACAGGAGACTGTCCAATAAGCCATTACAGCAGCTGGATGGTAACTATGTTGAACAAATTTTGCGTGGATTCTCTTCTTTTTCTGCCTCTGCATCTCTGCAGTTATAGTAATAATCTTTATAACTCACCATAAATTACTTAAGTGACCCAAAAAAGAAACAGTAAGACTTTTTTCATAAATACATGCATGCATATAAATTTATTTGTATGGGTATTTTGGCAAAATTTCCATCTTTTCTAATCGAATTCGTAAACTTAAATTAAATATCTACTGATTTCGGTAAGTCTTAAGTATTTATAATGGTTGATCACACAAAACTTAGTCTAGTATTTAGCCTCCTTTACTTATTCTCCATATATAATAAAACTTTTCGTTAATATTTAAACCTTGATTTGGCTTGAATTTTACTTAGAAGTATTCGTCTGTATGGTAAGTATGCGTGTTTATAGTTTAAAGCGGTCAAAGTTCGCAAAGCAGCCGCCACGAGAACTGCCACACTGAAGCTCACGTGCAGTCTAAACCACCCCGTCAGCCTTGAAAGTACCTGCGTTGCGCACTGTGACGATATTATATACTAATATCATTAATAATTATTTCAAAATTAACACACACATGCTGAAAAATCGTTAAGGTTCAGTAATAAATAACTTGAAATGCTTAAGTGTACGTTTTCTTCCGTTGCTCTCTTCGTCACCCGCTCTATACTAGTCTCTACTAATTCAATATTAAAATCGCTTAATTATTTTATATCGTTAATGAATTCATACAATTTCGCTTTCACATACACATTTACTCATCATCATCTTCATCACCATCATCCTCGTCGTCATCAATGTCGTCCTCATCGATTTCCTCGTCTTCCTCATTATCATTTTCATCAGTGCTATCGTTTCGTTTCAAATTTTTCACACCACTTTTGGTTGGCGCCCTTTTCTGTGGCGGCTTTTTGGCGCCTGTTTTGGTTTTCGATGCGGCCGCTTCGCCGTAGTCCAACTCATCTTCATCTTCGGTGTCCAATTCATCGTCATCTTCTTCGTTATCGTCATTATCGAGTGCACCATCATCATCACTTTCGTCGCCATCATTGCCTTTTCGTTTATTCAACTTTTGTTGTTCGTTATTTTTCGTTTGTTCTTTGACTAATTTGCTAAGCTCAGCGGTGTCCATAATTTTAACACGCCGATTATTCGGATCCAGACATTTTACTTTGATGCTTACAAAGTCAGACAAGCGTTTGTCATCCCAGCTTGAATACTATGAAACAAAAGTGAAATTTTATGATTTTAAAGTTTCAGAAATAATCTTAATAAAGACATAATTAGACACAAACAAAACTAAATCAGTAAATTAACATATATTCTATAGACAAATAAGATTATAAATCTGGAGTATTCCAGCAACGAGGCCGGCTTCAGAGTTTTCTTACCCAAGCGTTCCTTTGTCCACCCTAAGTATTCAAAAACAAGCAACTCTGTATACACCTGCCAGCTTTTCCTGAAGATATGGTCTATCTACTTATTTACTTTTAAGAAATATATCTGAATTTTCTAAAGCACTGTTTTCTTTCGAGATAATGATACCTTGAGACTTATGAAGTATCTATGGACCATGGCTCACAATGCAGAACTTTCAAATTGTAGCAGAGAATACGATGACATTCAATTAAGAAGATACAATTTAAAGAGATTCGACATCGGTTACGAAGTAATAAATAGAAGTGGGAAATTAAAGAACATAATGCAAAAAATACTGACAGAGCTGTGTCTTATTTAATAAATACCAAAAGTAAACAAATTAGGGTAAGGCAAAGTCCTAAAATTACGAACATAAGATCAACTTTCCATCGGATCAAATTTGATCCGCATTGAAAAATATACTTCATTCAATTCACGTATTTGAATATAAATCTTTATTACCGCCTTCAAAATAGGTTCCTAAGTCAACACAAGCATGCCAACGCTTAATTCAATTTTCCATACAATTGTTTTAAGTTTCGACAGGGGATGAGTGCCTTCAGCGAATTTTGTTTTTTTCGGTTTCGACTCAGTTTTGGAGCGTCATTCGCTAGATTGTTGGATAGTTCAAACGCCATACTCAGAAACCCACGTCCAAGCAAAATGTATTGAGACCCGATGATTTGAAAGCACTTTTTCTTTATCTTTTTTGATGTAATCGTCATTAACAGAGGTGGATGGACGACTCGTGGGACGAAATTACTTTTGTTCGTGTTAAAGTAGACTTTCCAACACACTTCTGCAACATTTTAAAGTTTCCGTAGCCGTGATCTCATTGATCTCAACTCTCACACAATTTGCTAATTTGACCATATGGTATATTTTTTAAACTGATATTCCTACTTTTTAAATGTCATCTAACACTTATATACTATTTTTTAATCAAAACAAGGAAAAACGTAAACTTCGGTTGCACCGAAGCTATAATACCCTTCACAAATACAAAGGTTCCTTACAAGAACTTAATTCTGATCGTTCAATTTGTATGGCTGCTATATGATATAGTTATCTGATCTTAACAATTTCTTCAAATATTACATTGTTGCCTTAGACAATAATCCATGCCTAACTTTGTGAATTAATTTAAATTGTGGAGATATCTCGTCAAATGAAAGACGTTTCCATGCAAGCACTTTACTCCGATCGTTTAGTTAATATAACAGTATGCTATAGTGATCCGATCTAAACAATTTCTTTGTAGATTATATTGTTGCTTTAGGAAATAACTCATGCCAAATTTCGTGAATATATTATATTATGTCAAATAAAAAAGTTTCCCATACAAGCACTTGATTCCGATTGTTCAGTTGGTATGGCAGCTATATGCTATAGTGGTGCGATTCAGCTTCTTAGTGAGGAAAAGACGGCTGCAAAATTTTAGATCGATAGCTTAAGAGACTAGTTCGTATTTTTACAGACAGGCGGACATGTCTAAATCAACTCAGCTCATCATGCTAATCATATATGTATATATTTTATAGGGACTCCGACGTTTACTTCTGGGTGTTAAAAACTTCGTCGCAAATTTAATATACCACGGTATAACAAGAAACATTTTAAAATTAAAAAAAGAGTATATAAAGTCTTGTCTTATTTACAATCTCTTGGGAGTTGTAGCGTTTCCTTGCACATTGGTTTGTGACAAATTTTGTGAAGAGATCTCCTTAAATAAAAAAGTTTTCCATATAAGGACATGATTTGGTCGTTCAGTTTGTATGGAACCTAGATAGCGTACAGTGGTCCGATATCGGTTTCGACAAACAAGTAGAACGTGTGCAAGATTTCGAATTGATAACTCAAAAACTGAGAGACTAGTTCGCAAATATAGAGATGGATGGACAGAAGGGAGGGAAGGAAAAAAATTATTGGGTTCTGAATCCGTAATATACTCGCAATATACAAGTTCAACCAGTGCCATACGAATTTTAGCTCTTGGAAGGTTGTTACGACATTTGAAAGCAGTGGCTTTAGCAAATATTTCCCGCAATTCTATCATATCAAACCTTTAAAAATAGTATGGAAGAAGTACTAATCTTCAGTAGAAAGAACTTTGTGCCCATTAAAACAGTTTTCTGAGTTAAACACCGTTAATTAAAAAGTAGAAATATCTCTACTCTTTTGCCACGCTAGTCTTGAAATGCATGTCTAGTTTTGGGCTCCAAGTAATTCCAAGATATATACGGACCCCTGTGATATGCTTGAGTACGATCTCAGCATCCACTTAACATAAAAATACATTTTTTTTTAATATTCTTCCATAATAAACTTCCTTAATTCTTATTTAGCTTAAATTTAGCATAGAAACCTTTTTCATTTACTCACCACTGAGCTGGATGTGAAGAGCAGCTCCTCCGGTGCAGTCTTAACACGTATATATTTCTGCAACAAGTTATTATCATCCTTTCGCCACAGGCATAAACGATTATTTTTGGAATAATCCTCATTCAAATCCCGTTTGTAAAGTAGCAACTCAAGCGAATGTTGTGGAACTGCTGCTGAAGAGCCTGCTGTTGCACCAGGCGTTGCGGATGTGCTAGTTTTATCCGTAAATTGCTTTTTGGGTGGCAAATTATTAGTTGCTGCTGCTGCAACACCACCACCACCACCACCCTTCTTTGTAGTTGCCGGCACATGTGCTGTACCGGTCGTTGCTTGCGCCTCATAATCCTCATAATCGTCCAACTCATCATCACTCAACTCCTCATTCAACACAGCATCTTCATCCTCATCGATATCATCATCATTGTCATCATCATCATCATCATCATCGCTTTCTTCGTATGCAGCGCTGGGTGCTTTTCGTTTAGCCACCACTGTTTGCTGCTTACCACCACCCACATTCGTAGCGCCTTTACGCTTTCGACCACGTTTGGCATTGCCCCCACCGCTGATGCTGCTAGTACCACCGCTGCCCGCTGCTGCGCCAGCCAAACGATTTTGCTTTTGCTTTTTGCCATTTTTATTGGCCGATGATGAGGCGGCCGGACGCCAATCCTCCTCGGAGTCATCATCATCCTCGCTGTAATCCTCTTCGGAGTCCTCGAAAGTGGTGGTCACTAATTCTGTGCGACTACGCATTTTCTGGTTGCTCTAGTTGAGTTACAGAACTTATGGAAAAGATGCTTGATTTTTTTCCTTTTGCTGGTTGATAGCAGATACTGTTAGTATTGGAAATGTATCAAGAAGTGTGGGCGTTGTGCAGAATTCGCAAATTTTCGATTGAATTCAATTAGTGTCTACCGTAATGTTATGCTTACGTTAATGCAAATTTCCACTTTTCGCTTTATTAGGCTTAAGATTATTATATTACTCACAATTCACAAATATGTTCTTAAAAATTTTTAATTGCAAAATAATCCGTTTTCTTTTCGTTTCGTCTACGATTTATCGCATCAACACTTCGGCTCGCCGTGAGATTCGTATTTATGTTTTTTTTCTATGCAGTTCCTTTTCCTGCCAAACTCTCTTAGTTGTGCTCAGTGACTGAGTCTTTTCTACATACCGTTATGCAGGAATTTTATATATTTCTATCGCTATTTGTCATGTCCTTTCTCCACAAGAAACAAAAGATCCAAATGGCTTTTGTACTATGCAACTAAAAATTGGCATATGTATGCATGTATGTATATGGAAATTCTTTGACTACATGCAAATGTTGCAAGAAACACAATTCTCGGCGCTCATAGCATCCTTATAAACGTATATCTTTTTAAGGGATGAAATACATACATATGTAAGTACAAAATGTCAGTCTGAAAGTAGACCATTTCTTCGACAGAAAGTTTTGTGGTCAAAAGCTTTACATTTGGGAACTTAAAAAGCTCTCTGTTTACACTACACACCATAAAAAGCTTATCAACCAAATATTTTCTTCTCTTCTTCTTTACATAAACTTTCAGTTTCTTCCTATCGGAAGTATTAATCAAGGAATGAGTGTGTAGCAACATTTTTTTACATACTGTATATATTTCTAACTGTATTGCTGATTTTCAAGAGTTTTGAAGTTTCATTTACAAAAGCTTTCCGTTCTATTGAACTTTTCTCCATATACGTACACCTTTATTGAAAGCTTTAATATGTGGCTGTTCTGTATAATTCTTTGACCTCCATGAAATTAGTTAATATAAAATAATTATTTTCAAATAATCCCACAAAAGAAGTGGGGGTGAAATCTGAAGATTTGGGTGACGGATCACTGGTTTAACAAATAAGGAAACGCTAAGTTCGAGTATAACCGAACATTTTATACTCACGCAATGAAAATACCTTCAGGTTTACGCAAAATTTTATATTAAACAAGAAAAAACGTTAACTTCGGCTTCACCGAAGGGGTATTTCTAATAAAAGGGTATAAAAGATCATTATCTTGATTTTGATCGGTGAGTTTGAATGATAGCTATCATTCAATAGTGGTCCGATCAGAACAACATGTTCAGAGATGAGTTAGATAATTTCGTAACGATAATTTGTCAAATTAAAAAAGTGATACCGAAGAGGCTAAATTATGGTAAATATGTTGAGTTAATGTGAAAAATGTCAACCAAAGGATCGGAATTAATAATATTAGAGATATAAGGTTCGTACGAAGATCTAAACCAAGTCCATTCATATTCTGCGCTAAACCACATAAGCATGTTCACCTAATTGCGAACAACCTAAACGGTTTAAAGACAGGAGGAATGTCGGAAATCACTATATAGACAATATTGGGGGAAGACAGACTTTTGACAGGTATGGGTAATTCGTAAACCAAGTTCACATATTTTCTGCATTAAGCTATAGTATATCCAATATTATACGTTCAGTAAATTTTGTTAAGATATCATATTTACTAACCGATATAAACGGTATAAAGCCTACCATTGGAAAAACACATTCACTTAATTTTGTTTAGATAACACACATATTGGCCAATATATAAGGTATAAAGTTAACCGGAAGTTCAAAATTTTTTATATTAGGTATATGGGAAAGACTTAAGCTAAGATAATTTTGACCCATTTTAATTGATTTTTGACATATAGCATACTATTATCAGAAAAGGATTATCTCTGAATTTCAATAACATATCTCACAGATTGACCGACATTTTCAGTAAAAAGTTAACAACAGGCACTATGGGCTTGAACAGTTATGGTCTAAATTTTCCCGAATTCATTAATTTTTACACTGTGGGAGGGGATAACAAAAACATTTGTTCTCAGCAAATTTGGTTGATTAGCCTTTATAAAAATATGGTATAAAACTCTTGGTCGGATCCCAGATCGATAGTGGCTCGGCAAAACCTCCGGGAGCTTGATTGAAAGGATCTTATTCATTGACCTTATAGAAAGTTGTTAAGAATGCTGATAGTAAAAAATTAATTTGAAGAAATCCATCCATCAATTGATTCAGCTTGATGTCTCTTGATCCATACCAAAAGTTTTTGGCATTAGAATTGATGGGAGTTTTTATTATCACAGCGACGGACATCAGCCGAAACCTAACACAACCTAAGCAATATCGATTAATATATAATATAATTTTACCAGTGTTAGAACATTAACAAAATTTTTGATATTAGCTTACTTTATAATGTAAATGAGTTTTCATCACTTCGTCCATTTAATATTAAAAAGAATGACTCAAAATCTTTTCTCGCTGAAATTGTTGCCCCATAACACCTTGTAAAATTGGTCCTATTTTTATACCCTGAACTGCGTTTATAAAACATCCCACGATTTATCCGTCTGTATATTCACGAACCTTAATTTGTGAGATATCGATCTGAAATTTACTCCCCAAGAAGCTGCTCATTTGTCGGAACCGCCGATATTGGACAACTGTAGCATATAGCTGCCATACAAACAGAACGATCGGAAGCAAGTGCTTGTATGGAAGGCTTTCTAATTTGGCGAGATATCTTCAAGAAGTTTGGCATGGATTATTGTCTAAGGCAGTGGTGAAATCTTCATGGAAACCGCTGGCATACAAACTGAGCGATCAAAATCAAGTTTTTGAAAGGAGGCTTTTGTATTTTTGAAGGGAATTATGGCTTAAGAACAAAAGAACACAAAAAAAACAATAATTCCAACCAACTCATTCGCCATTTCCATTATTAAGCTTAACAAAGTAAACCGATTCATTATAATTAGTAAACAACTTGATTTAAAGAAATAGTAAATAAATAAACATCCACTGACAACTCTCACTCATACATTTTTAGAAGGTTAGAAAATGTTGCACTTTATTCTGGTCAGAAGGCAACATTCTGAGAAAAGAATTAACGAACCTTAAAAAAATATTCAGCAAAGAACCTTCAATTTTGGCCAGCCGAGCGTAGGGCAGAATAAATGTAACATTTTTGTGAGAAAAGCAAACGCTATAACGTTCGGCGAAAATATAATGAAAAAAATTTCTAAGAGTAATCTCCCCAGTAATCAATTCTCAAAATGATCTGCAAGACTGATGATGTAAAAGTCTTTATGGTAACAAAGATAAATAAATTCAGTTCAGAGATGAGCGTCTCGCATAACTGTTGACATTTTGAATTGAATAATTTGTAGCTAGAAGCTAAGTCTATCATAACTACACACATGCGCTGTTGATATCAACGGACTTTGGATATAAATTATACATGTGCGATCTATATGCATGTATATGATCATATACATACATATGTATATAGTACATAAGTAAATAGATGACAGCAGCGATTGCAAGTGTAATGTCACCTGTCAGTGAGGCGCTCACGTAATAACTTTTACTATCATCAGAGCACAGTTGGCTGACTTTTCAGATTAACTAATGATTACAATTTTGTGCGCTTGTAAATATGTATGTACGCACGTAATATATGCATATATACAATGTCAATATGTTGGCTTGGTTGATTTGATTCTTTGAAGGTTTGGTGCTCGAGGTCGCTTAATATCAGCAGAGAAATTAAAACGTTTAGTATGCCAAACACACAGGCGCATAGTCAGTCTGAGCCGGGTGGACCCTCGCGCCATCAACGACAATTACAATGTAAAAGCCAAAAAGTTGTACAAGCGAGGGCACGCACGCAGTTGTGTGAGTGTAGGTGTGATTGTTGGCTACTGCTGACCGCAGGTCTCAACTGAAAGCTTTCTTATGTTGTTAATGCTTTGTTTTTGGTTTTTTTTTCTTTGCGTATAATTTTCTCAGGTTCATTGTTGGCTACATTCAGCTTGTTGTTGGTGGGCAATGCCAAAGCTGAAGAAAGCATAATAATAGTGCACTGATATACATAGGCACGGTGCAAAGTAAGGCAAGTACGCAAACGCAGCTAACTCAGAAAGCGCATGCGCGTACCAACGAAGCGGCGCTCTTCACTTTAGCATGCCTAAGAACAGTGGTAGCCAATAGTATGCGTGCCTTTCCACTATCTTAAAGTATTTTTTTTGTTGTAAATAAACCGATTTTCTTCTAAATTTTTGTTGAAAATGTAATCAATATCAATCTATCAATTAAATTTAGTTCAATTTTATTATGAAGGTGGTTAAAAAAATGATTTCGACATAACCTCATTAAACCTTTATAGTTAGATTCAGATTTTGTAATACCTCGTGTACCCGTGATTACATTTAACTGACATATTCAAACAAATTTTCAGGTTTCAAAATCTTTCACATGTTTTTAAATTACTTAAGAAATTTTTGTGAAGGGTGTTTTTTTTTAGAAATCTGGTGTTCAAGAAGAAATCAATCGCATATAATTTAATGTCGTGGCCAAGCATTTAGCTTTATTATAAAGTTAAGGGTTTTCCATTATGTTTTAAAAATGGTTTCATACAAGTGAACGTTGAATAAACTTTAGCTGAGAGACCGAATTTTCGACCACTTTTTGCAGCAATTAGGACTGTATGCCAGCAATAACTGCATATTATCTTTCAAGGCGTCAATCGTCTCGAGCTTATCTACCTAGACAAGTGACTAATCTCGCAAAAAATATCCAGTGGTCCCCTACAGCCCCACGACGCGAGATAATGCGCTCACCAAAAATTCCCTCCAATAAATTGTTTGTTAAGTTGGCTTTGTGACATAGCGCTCCACATTGACTGTTACATTAAGGCCGGTTTAATTTTTGAAGAAATATGGACCAATTATTCCCTCTGCCCATAGAGCGCACTAAACAGTGACGTTTTGAGGATGTAACCTCGTGTGCGTCTCAACAAGGACTTGTTGAGTATCATCCCCTCAAATTCGGAAATTTGGTTTAGAAACAAACTCATTTAACCCAAAAGTAAGTTTCATCGCTGAACAAACGCACGGGTTGGATTTTGTATTCGGGTCTTCTTCGATACTCTGCTCTACAGCAGCAAAAGCGTTATCGGTGCCCACTTTACGGCGTCTCTGAGGATGAGTATTATTCACTGGAGTAAAGCAAAGCCGATCTTTTAATACGGGGCAATTATGTCGACCGAATATTGGACGCAGCTCGCGATGCGTTCAGCGGACTGAACCATCAGTTTGGTAATAAAATTGCACGATCTGCAAACGTTGTTCCGGAATAAGTCTGTTCAAAAGAGGTATTGCCTCACTGATAACACCATGTCTAAAAAAACACACTTTACATAAAACGAGTACTTTCACGCCCACAGAACGCAATTTAACGAAAATTTATTAAGTGCTAATCACTAAGTTAAGTCATTAAACTGTAATTTGGCACAAGAGTTCATAGTAGCAAGAAGCACTTGTGAGCTAAAAATAATACAAAAAAATTACCATAGATCTTAAATTGTTCCCTCGAGATGGTAGGAGAGGACTTTATAAGAGCCGGGATCAAAATTGGACGATGGGCGTGGCATTTCGTGTATAATATTAATTTTCGTTGTTCTAACAAGCCTTATGCACTTGAAGATACTTCTCTGGCTTTGATCCTGCCAAGTTGCAAGAGTTTGAATTGTTCGGTTACACCCGAACTTAGCACTTCCTTACTTGTTCTTATTTTATTTGTAGTCCATATGTAGAAAAGGAGAACTATTTAATGTTCTCTGATGGTTATCATTATCGATTTTTATTATCGGTTTTCACTAAATTGTTCGTCTTTAGTATATTAACTGTATTTCAACTATTTTTCAACTACCAATTCTAGTCCTGGAATTCGTTGTAATTTCTCAACTCTTTGAACTGCGCCATTACATTGACTTTATCTAATTTAATGTCCACCATCAGCGCATCGGCCGAAGTAACTTTTGATAGCTGTTTTACTTGGAAGTTTCAATATTAAGTTAAAATTTAAATTTAATTCTGAAATCAAAAACATTTTTATATGGTTAAATCTTGCACACACAGAGTTGTCTTCCATTCCTCAAACCTTCACATTTTTTAGCAGCGAGCAGAGCTCAAACTTATTCCGATCGTTCAGCTTATATGACAGTTACATACATGACATATGCTATAGTGATCCGATCTGAACAATTTCTTTGGATATTCCATTATTGCCTTTGATAAAAGTTCTTTCCAAAAACCTTATTCCGCTCCTTCAGTTTTTATGGCACCTATATGCTACAATATATTGCTTTAGATAATGATCCGTTCCAAATTTCGCGGAGATATCTCGTCATGAAAAAGTATTCTATACAAGAACTTGATTTCAATTGTTCAGTTTGGCAGCTATAAGCATTAGTGGTTCGATGCTAAATTTAAGATCGATATCTCAAGAACTAAGAGACTAGTTCGCTTATATATAGACGAACGGTGGGACAGACAAACGGACATGGCTAAATCAACTCAGCTTATCTTGCTGATCATTTATGTATATATTTTAAAGATTTTCCGACCTTTCCTTCTGGGTGTTACAAACTTCGTGGCAAACTTAATATACCCGGTTCAGGGTATAAAAATCGAAATGGATGAGCTCTTAAGTGCATTTATATAGTAATATTTCTTTTTATCATTCGCCCTCAACTCTCTACTTTGCCACCTACGTACAAGTATTTCATTGTTAAAATGTCTCTCATATTTAGATCACTGCCATTTAAAAATCTTTATCGCAAGCACTTTCTGACTTCTCGCAATTAAAACGCTATAAATTCATATACACCCATTAAGTGACATAAATTTCACACATACTGTATACGCGGCTACACTTTGTTAAACGAAGAAGTGCTAAAATGGAATGTAAATGGAAGTATGGAGAAATTTCAAAAGCGACACAACAATAGCAACGGCAGCAACAGCGGCTACACGCTGCTGCTGCGGTGCAAAAAATATTCAGTTTGTTTTGCTACATCCATCCATACAGACGGGAAGCACGGTGCGCTTGCGCAAAATCGATCAAAAGTAAAATTTTGTTAACATAAAGACGTAAAGTGGTTCTTACACAGCGCTACACTTATTATAACGGTATCAGGAACAGTTGCATAAGCAGAAATAGCAAAGACTAAAATTAATTAACCGCATAAAATCAATCAATCAATCAGTTACGCTGTTTACTACTGTCTACACACAAAATATGGCTAAATTGTTGGATCACTTTGTTGTGGTTCTACTGCTCAGCATCAGCGCTGTCTCTTTGGTCTGGGGTCGTGCGACTAAGCTGGCAGATAATAGCAAACAATTGTTGGTTTTCGGCAGCGGCAAGGAGACGAGTCCGCCAAATTTTGTGCGCTTGGTCGTGATGCGTCTCATTTATGGACTCGCCTCAACAATGGGTCTGGAGGAGCGACTGGAAGATGCCTTTAATGGCGCTTTTGTGCCGCCCAATGCTGATGGTGGTCTCTTCAGTTTCGGCGGTTACGATGACGATGATGATGGTGGCGCGTTGGGTGCACTCTTCGATGACATCTAAAGCGCACCGAGTCAACGAAGTAACGGTGCATGTGCCGAGTATGCCGTGTAATAATTGAACTTTCGAATCGCGTTTCATTGGCGTACATACAAACATATTTACACCTGCGCATGTATGTGTGTATGTTGGGAAAAGTGTGCACGAAAAGAAAGATAGAGTGACCAAAAATATCAAATTAATTTATTTTAATTTAATTTAAATTATTTATTTTATATAAATGTACAATAGTTGTTTAATGAATAGTCTGTAAGTAAAAAAGACACGTTAGGAATTTTTTTTCACACACTAGTGTGAACAAATTCTAGTTATGAAAAAGTGTTACGAAATTGACGAAAAAACCAATAAAAATACATACATACATACATACATATTATTGAACCAAACGTGTCATACATTCTGCAAACTCAAATATTGAAAAACTTTCTACTCTGCATGTGCGCACAAATGTATTTATGTATATACATATACATGTATGTATGTATGTATTTATATACGTACAAATTTTGGTTTGTGACGAATCGAAAATTAAATATTAATAAGCAATTAACTGTTGCACGCACAGCACACATGCATACAAACATTTAGCTTCCAGTAGAAACTAAGTTTAAAGAAGTCCACTAGGTGGCGCTATAGACGAAATATTATTAATAAATATATATTTAGATATACATACTATATAATTACATCGTAAGCGTGCGCTAGACGATATTACTTGTATCATAGTTTTGGTCATTTAATTAAAGCCGTTAAAATTATTTGCATGCTGCAAGAAAAACTTAAATTTTTAGAAGACCAACATTTTAACGGGTAGTTGCAACGAGTGTTACAGATATCCACAGCGAACGAATATCTGTAACACCCCGAAAAGCGTTGGAGACTGTATAAAATATATACAGTAGCGAACAAAGGTCTACACACTCCCCATATTTTCGTGGTTCTGAAAATAAAAAAAACTTTTTACAACAAGTAAGCAATATATAGTTCGGATATAACTCGTATACTCACACAAGGATCAAAGCCCGGAAAATTTCTTTTCGAATTTTAATAATATATCTGATATTTTGATCGATATTTTTGGTAAAAAATTCGCATTAGGGACTGGCGTCCTCATTTCGGTAACTGGAGGCTTGAATAGTGTTGGTCCGACTTGGACGTGGAAAGTTTTATCCGGTTACATTGATTGGTTAATAATTTGTATATTAGAAAGTGAAAGAAACAGATCGAATTAAAAATTTTTTTATATAGGAAGTAGGCATGGTTTTTGTCTGATTTCGCCCATTTTCGCACTTTAATGTAGGAATGTCAGGATAATGTTACCTAGCGAATTTGAAAATCGGTTAAATGGGTCCCGAGGTATAGGTTTCTACCTAAATGTGGGCGGTGGCACGCCCACTTTTTACGTTTTTTTTGTCTGGACGTTCCTATAGCCTTTGTAATCCCCTGACCAAATTCCACTTTTGTATCTTAATTAAGTGCTTAGTTATGGCTTTTTATATGTTTTCGATTAAAGCGTCTTGTGTGCGTGGCAATGGTTCAATTCCAAGTTTCATCAAGCTATCTCAATTTTTGCTCAACTTATCGCTTGTATAAACGAACGAACGGACAGATAGACAGTCACTCGGAATTAAAATCGTCTTTTCATCCTGATCATTTATATATACATAACCCTATATCTAACTCGATTAGTTTTAGGTGATACAAACAACCGTTAGGTGAACAAAACTATTATACTTTGTAGCAACATGTTGCAAGTATATACAAATTTGTTGATACATCTTTCTAAACACAAAAAGCAAAATAGTTCGTTATATAACATAAAATAACAAAATTATGGAAGAAATACTCAAAAATTGCGTTGACAAAAGTCTACATACTGTTTAAAAATAACATAATTAAGTGAGAAAACTTTACTTAATTCTAGGTATTATTGCATTTAAGGATTTAATTGGGATCCCGTTGGCATCTATAAGCACTTGAAGCAGCCTCGGCATCGATTCTACTATATTTGGCAACTGTGCAGATGCTCCTACTATGCGTTCTTTGAGTATAATAGTGCCTTAGTTGTGTTTCGAACTTTTTTCTTTTATCGGTACCAAAAATGTTGAACCTCGACTCCTCTGGAAAGAAAATCTTTTTTGCAAAAAATCCATCTCCTTTACTATATGTTTTTTGGTGAATTCTAAACGAAATTTTCATATTTTTACTAAAATAGTGTTCTAATATACTGTGGAACCCTTTCTTTGTTCTAATATTCTTTGTGAACCCAATGTATATTAATAACTTGTTACCCTCACTTAGTATGTGAGATATATTACTGAAATTCTGAGAAAATCCTTTTCTGATCTGTGTATCAAAATGGGTTGAATCGGGTCAATAATTCCCTTATCCTCCAATATGTGAGTTATCCTTATGAAATTGAGTGAGTGTGTTTTTCTAATAGCAGTGTAGCTGTGGATGATGAAATCGGGTGAAAACTTGCCCCAGCCCCCATATAACTGATATCAGAATTTCTAAACATCCGATTGACTTTCACTTTGTAAATATATAGGTGATGGTTTATGAGGTACTTTAATAATATGTGGTAATGCCTAAAATAGATAGAATCGGGTCAATACTACCCCTATATCCTATATACCTAATATACGATTTTCAAGCTTCCGGTTTGATATAGTGGCAAATTAACTGAACGTATAATATTGAATACACTATAGTTTAATGCCGAAAATATATGAAATCGGTCTATGAATCACCCCAATTCCCGTATACTATACGTAATTTTTTGTTATATTATATTGTAACAAATGTTTTGCCGATCAGCAGTGCGGATTTCGGTCAGTGTGTGATTTACATATTTGTAAAACTGAAGATATGTTCTAAAGTATACCTGAGCAATATCAAAGGTCAGGTCAGATCGTTCTTTGTTCCCAGTACATATATATATATATATATATATACAGTGATTTCCGACTTTCCGTTTACGTTAGTCAAAATGTATGATACTTAAATGAAAGTAAATGGACAATTTCATTCTTGTTGTTGTTAAGAAATCGATTTGAAATCTTGCACTTTACATTCTTGTATTTGTCAAGATATCTTCACGAAACTTTGCATAGATAAAGTATATGAAGATGAAGATGTACCAGTAGGAAGAAAATTGAGGCCACCTCATTATTTCTAGATGCAACTGGAGGTTAAGCGGCTTCACAATGAGGGATTCGCGTTGTTTCAATATATAATTATACCCCAAAAAAGGATATATTATGTTTGCCACCAAGTTCGTAACAACCAGAAGGAAATATTGGAGAATCTATAAGGCACATATATAAATGATCAGCGTGACGAGCTGAGTCGATTTAGCCATATACACGCGAACTTGTCTCTCAATTTTTAAGATATAGATCTGAAATTTTGCACATGTATGTTTCTCACTAAGAAGAGAAGAAATCGGACCACTTTAGCATATATATAGCTGTCATACAAACTGAACGATCAAAATCAAGTACTGTGTAATCAAGTGGAAAACCTTTTTGTTTAATATCTATCTCAGAATATTTTGTTCACATCGGACCAAACAAAAAAAAAAAAACGTTAACTTCGGTTATATCGAAGCTATAATAACCTTCAAAAAGACATAAGATTCCTTACAAAAACTTCATTCTGATTGTTCCATTTGTATGACAGCTACATGCTTCAGTTATCCGATCTGACAATTTCTTCCGACAGTGCATTATTGCTTTAGGCTATGACTCTTACCAAATTTCGTTAAAGAGTTTCCATGCAAGCAATTTATTCCGATCGTTCAGTTTGTATGGCAGCTGTATGCTATATTGATCCGATATCGGCAGTTATGTCAAAGACAAATGAGTAGCTTCTTGGCGAAAAAAGAACGTGCTGAAAATTTCAGAGCGTTATCTTAGAAACTGTGTTGGTAGGGAACATTGCATACACATTCAATATCCTTGCAGTCATTGAAAACTATAAAAATATGAAATTTTGCTTCAAAGACACGAATGAAAATCAGTTTTGCATCGAATCACTCACTGGCGATAAAAAATGGATTTATTTTAAGAATCCTAAACGGAGAAAATCAGGGGTTAATCCGGGACAACCATCAACATCCACTGCAAAAATATATCGATTCAGTAAGAAGGCAATGCTTTGTGTTTGGTGGGATCAGAAGTGTGTGGTAATATCATTAACTTCTATAACCTGGTTAAACTATTATTACTGATTGGTTTGCTTCAAAAGGCGAATATTTCCATTGGCATGGTATCCACAAATTGCCAGAAAGGTGGTCAAAATGTGTAAAAAGCAATGGTCAATACTTTGCATACATTTTTTTTTACTTTCCCATTAAAAATTAGTATTTAATTTTCACAAAACTATGTTTCCTTCTGGGTTTTACAAACTTTGTGGCTTACTTAATATACCCTGTTCAGGGTATAAAAATCAAGATAAAATTGCATCGTTTTAACATTAAACATACTCTTAACCACTGTAATCGTTATAGTAATGGATTTTCATGCGACTGTTAGCAAATACATTTTTCCCACAAACAGTAAAACAATTCCTATTATCTGCTTAATTTCATACATACAAGTACATATGAATGTAAATACATACTTTAATTTGTTGCAAATATTTCTAATAAAGAAAGTCATAGGAATGCAATGAAAAGAAACGATTTGCTGGTGCTTGCTCTCTTTTCGATTGAAAGTTTTTATTAAAATACATTAAAATGTAAATGTATGTGTGGATACGTGTGTAAATTATTATTTTTCGCACTAAAGACAGATAGAACAAAGGGAATCCTAATGAAATACATATGTATGTGTGTATGTATTTCAAGTTGAGCTCAGTATTTGCGCAAAGTAAAGCGAAAAACGTGTGGAAAAATTAAAAAATATATATAATAGTATATATACTCGTATACATATATATATATACTCGTATATACAAATTATATTATTTGTATATGTTAGTACAAATGTTTGTGCGCCTACTTAGCCAGTTGAAAGTGTTACTTTTACTATTAGTATGTATTGTTTCTTTATTTTATAAATATTCCAAACATATCTTTTCTTTAAGTAAGTATGTCACACAAATCAATTAGTTTGTAAAAGAAAAAAAAAAAAAAGATAAATATTTTAATTGTTTGTACAGCAAGTAAAAAACCATAAATACATTGGAATTTTTTCTTTCTTTTACAAATGTACTCGATGCACTAGTTAAATTGAAAGCTTTGTAGGATTGTGTGTGTTAAGCAAAGACATCTACGCTAATATTATACAAAGCTGACCAACAAACGCATACATGATGACTTTCGGCCAAGTGAGCGAGATGCAAATAATTGCGCGGCTGTGACCCGATTATCTCTAGGTTGACTTAAGAAGAAAAAAAAAGTTCTACTTTTTTATACTCTTAACAGAGTATATTAAGTGTTTGTAGCGCCCAAAAAGAAACGTTGTAGACCCAATACAGTATATAATGGGTGTTTCGTTAGACATGTGGTTTTCAATGAGACAATACTTTTTTCGGAGTTTGTCTTTTTAACTGTTGTTACTTGATTTATACTCAGTTTCTTTTGCCATTTCGTAATGACGACAATATTTGCAAAGAGTGTAAATTTCTTACCAAAATAATGGTTCGGTTCGCGCGACGTATCGCCCGCTGCGTCCAATATTCGATCAACATAATCGCTCAGCAGAGTCGGTAATTAGAACACTTATGGATTAAGTTTACTCTAGTAAAAATGTGCTTTCTCAGAGATGACGTACAGTGCCCACCGAAGACGTTATTGCTGCTGTGTAGCAGAGTATCGATTTTGCAGAAGGATCTTGAAAGAATTGAAGCCGAACGACCATCAATCACCGTCGCACGTTCGGTAAATGAGCTCAAAACGAAATGGCCACCTATTCCGATTATCACGAGAAAATTCTGTTCAGTGAGGAAACTAACTTTTTGTGAAATGGGTAGCGTACCCATAAAAAATTTAGCGCAGTCGGAGTGATGATAATGCACAAGCAATTGTTGAAATGACGTTCTAAAAAAGTCACTGTTTGGTGTGCTCTATGGGCAGAGGGAATCATTGGGCTATATTTATTCAAAAATTAAGTCGGGCATAATTTTACAAATGGGTAACGCTATATACCCCGATTAATGACTTTTTCGTGCCTGAATTAAATAATGTTGAGGTGGACGTCCTTTAATTCCGTAGGCGCCATCTTGCCATGTCATACAGCCAACAAAACGATCAATTTATTGAAGGAAACTTTTGTTGAGGGCATTATCTCGCATCGTTGGCCTGTGGCGCGGCCTTTAAGATCGTGCGATTTAACACATGTCACAAAGGATTAACTGTAAATAAACTGGCTGACGACCTTGTTCGTTTTTCTGTTGCTTCTAGGATGTTAGGACGTAACCCTGCATTGCGGTTGGTCTCTATATCATAAAAGAGTTGCTCCGCAAAGAGGAGAGACTGGGTAACATAGGGAAAAGTACTGGCAACAAGTCACAGGCATGCGCAGCTCAAAATTCGATTATACAAAATTTCGGAACATATTTAAGTTTCACCTAAATATAGCCACTATAGCATATAGGTGCCGTACAAACTGAACGATCGAAATCAAGTGCTTGTATGGAAAACTTTTTCATTTGACGAGATACATATCTTCACGAAATTAGGAAATTAGGCAAGGATTATTGTCTAAAGCAACGGTGTAATCTTCGAAGATATGGTTCGGATCGAGTCCTTATAGCATATAGCTGCCATACAAACTGACCGATCAACGATCAAACTGACTTGATACAACTGTAGCTAACGTTTTTTCTTAAATCTTAATAATTTTGGTTAATTAAAAAAATTGTTTTCGATAATCCGATTACACAAAATTTCTGAAACTAAAATTTCGAAACTCGATGAAATTAATGTGTTGCATAGTGCTACCAACTGTTAAAATGACATAAATGTGATATTATTTAACTTTCATCCGCAATTTTTTTATATTTAGTTAACTAAAAAATCTAATTTCGAAGCATAAAGCGTCAACTCACGGTCCAAATGTGTGGTACTTGTATATTGTAATTTATGCTCGAAAACGAAAAGTTCTGTTTAAAAATTTTGCAAGTCCTTCGAAAAAAATTTAAAATTCGTAAATTCGGTACGAAAAAATTATACTAATAAAGCAAAAAAATTTTTTATAGTGTAATTTAGATTGAACAGCTTAAAAATTCAATATTTAGTGCCTAACTAAAGCTATGCTCTACACCAGTATTTCAAGCTGCATATTTCAGTACGATTTGAGATGCCACTGTCTAGGAGATATTTTAAAACATCGCTATTGATAGGCATATAAATGCAGTAATCTAACATTGCCCTGTCAGTGTAAATTAAATAGTCGCGAGCTTCTCAGCTTTCATTACAAACGCTGGTGATATGTGCTTTCTTATGTGAGTTGAATTGATTTTGCAATAAAATGTCTGTGTGTATATAAAGTGCATCAAATTTAAATATTATAAATAAAATTTAAATCGGAATGTTTTCAACTCTTGAAGGTGCTTCAATAGAGTATAATTGTTATGTATTCTAACCAGTTGGTTTTAACACCATATATCGGTAACCATATCTACTTTCCATACCACTGTATTTTTCAAAACGTAAAAATTTAATATTATGTGATATAAAAACAGAAAGCAACTGATACAAACTGGATTATGTCCGTGATAAGTGCCAAATTTACAAATATTCGGAATTTCATAAATTTTTCAATTTTCCAAATATTAAGGGTGTTTTTTTAAACATGTGGTTTGCAAGAAGAAATAAAGCGTATATAATGTAATCAACTTTATAATACAGATAAGGATTTGTCATTAAGTTTTAAAAATAATTTCGGTCAAGTAATCACCGTGGATGGCTCGAATAAATTTCTGCCGAGAGACCCAATTTTCGACCACTTTTGGCAACTAAAGTGGATGGGCACAGCTAAAATTGTTGGGCGTGATTGCGGATGAACTCATGCCACACAGAATTATTAGCGTCTTCGGTGGGCACTATACGTCATCTCTGAATATGCACATTTTTCACTAGAATAAACGTAATCCATAATTGTTCTAATTACCGACTCTGCTGGGCGATTATGTCTATATAATATTGAAGGCAGCGAACGAGGCGTCACGCTTATCGAACTATTATTTCGGTAATAAATTTGAACGATTTCCAAACATTGTTCCAGAGTAAGTCTATTCATTATGAAGTGGCAAAACCAACTGAGTATTAATCAAATAACAACTGTCAAAAAAACCAACACCGGAAAAAGTACTGTCTCATTGAAAACCACATGTTAAAAAACAACCTTTACTAAGACTCAAGACTGACAAATTTACCGTTTTAAATTCACCCAAACATTAGTATAAACTTAGTCAAGAATGGTCAGACTTAGAAATTAAAATAAAAAAAAATGAATTGAATAAAATTGTGTTGCTCTTTCACCTATTATATGTCGCGATTTTCAGTGAATTTTAATATGAACAAAATCGATGACTAAACAAGTAAGGAAGGGCTAAGTTCGGATGTAACTGAATATTTCATACTCTCGCAAAGTCAAGCGGTATATTCGTTTGAAATTTCTTTAAATGTTTTGTTTGATTTGCATAGTGGAAAGTGAAAGAATCGGATGGAATTTAGAATGGTGTTATATGGGAAATAGGCATGGTTGTTATCCCATTTTCGCACTATAACATAGAAATATGAGAATAATGTTATGTACCGAATTTTGTTGAAATCGGTTAAGCAGATCCCAAGGTAATTTTGAACGCGGTTCCTATAAAGTCATCTTATACCATCCTTGAAATGAAATTTAATGCCTCTGGCGTGTTTAGTGCTTGATTTATCGCGCTTTTAGTAGTTTTTAACAGTACCGTTACATGGGGAGTGGGCGGGGTTGTCACCCGTTTTAACGCCATAAATCAAAAATAAAATCGAGCACCAATGAATGTATCTTGATAAAACTTTGCATGAATAGTGCCTTTGAGTTGGGCGACCTTATTACCAAAAACTGTCTAAATCGGACTAAAACTATTCAACCCCCCATATATTGAATATGTGGACCCCAGTTCCTACAGCAAACATTTTATCGAAGATATCGGTCCTTCCGTTATATGTTATAGAAATTCAAAGAGAATCCTTTTCTAATAATAATATGCCTGTACGTCAAAAATGGGTTGTAACGGGTCAATAATACCTTTAGCTCCCATATACCTAATAAGTAAGTAAAATGATTATATAAACAAATAAGTAAGATACCTGCAAAATTTATTGGAAGTATAATATTGGATATACTATAGTTTAATGCCGAAAATGTGGGAAATTGGTTTCACAAATTACTCAAACTATCATATACTACATATATTAATATTCTTTGTTCCTGGTAAGTTGCAAGAGTATGAAAGGTTCGGATTCGTATCTGTGGGGGAACAAGTAAACTTTGATTGGATTTAAATATACGATTACACTTTTTCTATATATTGTTTGGTTTTCCTATATACCTACACACATATGACTCTTATCAGTATCACTTATGTTCAGCGAAGAACTCGTATCAAAGACTACTACAGACTACTTCGCCTACAAAAATTCATTATGCCGAGGGGACTAACGAGAGGCAGAGTGAGGTAGCGTACAATCTGAACATAAGTTCACTGGAATCGTCGTTTTTAAGTGTAAAAAAATATATTGACTGAATCTTTTAATTTATGTGATCCTCTAATTTCGCAATTAAGTAAATAATTGTTTCGTCAAATGAAGAATGGTTCATTATTATCAACATCCATAATTGTGGGATGTCTTTCCTTTCTTACTTCGACATTATAACTACCTTTCCTATTCTGTATAAGTCTTTGAACCGTACATTAATTATATTTCTGATGTCGTGCAGCAGATGATTTTTTTTAAAGGGTGGAAGGGGTCGATCTCGTAGACGCACAGCAGTTGGTCGTCGTCTAACGCCTGCTAAGCGCACGCGAGCTCCATAGGTCCAGTGCTAGAACGTAAGATAAGACTTGTTCCCATTGTATCGAAAAAGGTCGTCTACCAACGCCAGTTAAGCGCGATCTATAGGTCCAGCACCAGAACGCAAGATGACAGCAGAGATCGAACTCGTTTCCTGCTATTCCGCTATGACCAGACACCCAAAGGAGTCTGCTTATGAAGTCGCTCTATGCTATTTCAAGTGAGGAGAGTGATTCACCCGATTCCATCATTTTCAAACTCACTTTGAATTTCATTAAAATAACTAATTTATTGATTTTTATATAAGACATATGGTATCTGGCCTAGGGGAAAGTGTTGACACGATTTTACCCGTTTATGATACAAGGGCATATTATTGCCAGAAACAAATTCTCTCCGAATATTACTATATATCACAGATTGAACGATTTATGATAAAAAAGTTCTTTAGCTTTAGTGGTTTGTGAGATATGTACCATCCCCCACCTCCTTTTTTAAAATTTTCAAACCACAGATACCCCTCGCTGCTGCAATTGGCTTTACCAAATTGAAAGTTTTGTATCTTAATTTGTGACTTAGCTATAAAATCTATAAAAACATGTCTTCAAATAATGAAATTTGGTGGGCGTGACAATGATCCGATTCCGCCTATCTGCAATACCAACCTTCTTATGGTATCAAGGCACGTGAGTTTACCATAAAGTCAGTTCCTTGTCAAGTTTCATCAAAATATCTCAATTGTACTTAAGTTGTCGCACGAGCAGACGGAAGGACTAACAGACTGTCACTGCGAGATTAATTTTTTTTGATAATTCATATATTAAATAAATAATATTTTGGTTGAATTTTACATTACAGCTTAACAAAAGTCATGTTTATGCAGCTGACAATTATTATTGTATGCCTGCTGGGCTATTTTTTTAATCCGGTACGTACTCAAGGAATACCAGACATTGATGTATTATTAGGTCGCATATTTGACGACAATTCTACAGATCTTATGCCAGAACCAAGAGTAAATACGCAAGATAAGATTTGTGGATTCGGCATGGAATGTGTACCACGCAGCCTCTGCAATGAAAATGGAACTGTCAATAATTATGGGATACATATGATTAATCTTCGTATAGATGGTCCATGCGCCTATTTGGAAAGCTGCTGTGATGTAAGCAATAAGGTAAGTAGCTATTTCAAATATAGACACGTCTGCAGATTCACTAATTATTGAAAACTTGTGTTACTTTACAGTTACAGGAACCTAAACCACTGGATGTGCCACAAATAAATGCTTGCGGTTATCGCAATTTTAATGGCATATCTTTCAAAATTTCAGGAGCTAAAAATAATGAGGCAGAATTCGCAGAATTTCCCTGGATGGTGGCGATTTACACAAATGTAGGAAATCAGAAGCTTTTCAAGTGTGGCGGCTCGGTTATCGCACCAAAAGTCGTTCTAACAGCGGCACATTGTCTCTGGGACAAACAGACCGCCTCGCTGATGGTCCGTGCTGGTGAATGGGATTTGGAGACCACGCTAGAACCGCTTTTGCATCAAGATGCACGAGTTGCCGAAATCATAACTCATGAGGACTTTAATCGCAACACCATATTTAACGATATCGCGTTATTAATTTTGGAAACACCTTTTACTTTGGCACCGAATGTCCAACCCATTTGTTTGCCCGAAGCCGGCACAATATTTGATAATAAGCGTTGCTTTGCCGCTGGCTGGGGTCAGAACAAGTTTGGTAAAAATGGCACGTACCAGCATATTTTGAAGAAGATCGAGCTGCCCGTTGTGCCGCGTGCTAAATGTCAAGCGCAATTGCGTACAACGCGGCTAAGTCGATTTTTTCAGCTGGACAATAGTTTCATGTGCGCTGGCGGTGAACTCGGTAAAGATACGTGCAAAGGTGATGGCGGTTCGCCATTATCATGCCCCGATCCGAATAATCCCGAACGCTATCTTCAAGCTGGCGTAGTTTCCTGGGGCATCGAATGTGGAGTGGAGAATATTCCCGGCGTGTACGCGAATGTGGTGCACTTACGCGACTGGATCATCGGCAAACTTGTGACAAAAGGAATTGACACAAAGTTTTTTACGCCATAATATTGAGGAATTATCTGCTAAACCCTACAAATACCACACATAAACTCTTACTAGATTTAAAAAACTATTAATACTATTAAAACTGAAACAGACTCTCTAGAGATCTCTTGTTTTATTTAAGTATATGTACAGTAACATACTATTTGTAAATACAAATTCGTGGTATATAATATAGTTAGAGTATCACGTCGGAAAATGGATAATAAACCCAACACTACCATTTTGTTATCTAAACCAAATGTAGTTTTTCTGGTTGGAAGCTATACTAAAACTGAGAGCAGCGGTTACTCTCTAAATCGCTAGAAATATTTTGCAATCGATAAGTTCCTACTTTACGATTGCAGGGCACCTTTTTTGCTGAACCTCCAATTTTCGTCTAATAGGTGAAATTTACTCTATTGAACCAATAAAAAATCTGAAGCCAAGGCTGTATGGAGGAAGGCGAGGTAAAATAATTTGTCCGGCTTTTGTCAGAACCTAGCAAAGTTGCTGAGATTGATATTAACCGCCGATTTGATCTCAAAAGATTTATGGTAAGCAAGTTCTTTAGCTTTAGTGGTTTGTGAGATATGTACCATCACCCACCTACTTTTTTAAAATTTTGAAACCACAGATACCCCTCCCTACTGCAATTGGCTTTACCAAATTGAAAGTTTTGTATCTTAATTTGTGACTTAGCTATAAAATCTATAAAAATATGTTTTCAAATAATGAAATATTGTGGGCGTGGCAATGACCTCTCTTAGGTGCCGCTATTAGTCGAAATCATCTAAAGTGTCATAAATAAGCACTTAATTCAGATACCAAATTTTAATTTGGTGTAGAAAATGGCGGTAACAAGGGACTCCTATTGACCGAAATTTTTTTTAAAGTGGGGGTAGCCCCGCCCCCCAAATGGTATAATGTACATAAGTATGTATTTTTTATCACTTTTTCATACGCTCTGAAAATGATTAAAATCAGATAATAACCACGCCCACTCCTCATACAACAATTATGTTGAAAACTGCCCAAAGTGCGATAACTCACTGAATAAATGCGCCAAAGCATTAAATTTCACTAAAAAGATGTTCGGATAGAGCTCTATAGGAGAAGGTGGAAAAATTTAACAATAGGAGTGGCACCACCAGCCTTTAGGTGAAATCCTATATTTCAGGAACTATTCGACCAATTTCAACCAAATTCAAACCCAGCCATTCCTATCACGCAATGTGAAATAGGCGAAATCGTACAACGATATGCATGAACTATCTATCCTGTAAAAAAAAGGACCCAACAACTATGCAGCAAAAGCGTCAACTTCCATGATGTCATTTGAATAACAAATTTACTCAAACACATCCTTAAAGAAAGTGACAACACCGTGTATGGCTAAATAATAAGTATGGTTTAAAATCCTAAAGAGCATGATTTAAAGAACGTTAAACTGAAAACAGAAAAATCAATATAGTTTGGTTAAAAAAAATACGCTTTTAAAGTACTTCAAACTAAAAAGTGAAAAATTATTCCTCATATTTATAAACTCACCGTTATAATACAATATTGACCATACTATTGACCGAAAACGTGCAAAGGGGATGGTGCCTCACCGTTAGAATGCCCCTATCCAACGTTACTATCAAGCTGGTATTGTAGCTTGGGGTATTGGTTGTGGTGAAGAAAATGTTCAGGGAGTCTACGCGAATGTGGCATATCTTCGCAATTGGATAAATATAAACCTGGCTGCACGTGGAATTGATTTCACGATTTAAGAAATTATGTCATAAATAATTTTGTTGAAACATTGCTTACATGTAAAATTGAGAAATACAAATATATACATATGTAGTATATTATATGTGCTTTCTAAAACAATAATGCTTTTTGACAATCCATTTTTAATAGAGGTTCACGTAAGCATGTTTTTTTTTATATATAAACAGGAGTGTCATCGTAAACTTTTTCTTAAGAAACCTGTAGATACATGACAGTGTCCTACCTTGTAGTGCCTATCTATTAAACATAACATATAGCAAGTAAGGAACGGCTAAGTTCGGATGTAACCGGACATTTTATACTCTCGCAAAGTCAAACGGTATACTAGTTCGAGATTTCTTTATATATTTTGTTTGATTTGCATAGTGGAAAATAAAATAATCAGATGGAATTTAAAATGGTGTTATATGGGAAATAGCCGTGGTTGTAATCCGAATTCACCCATTTGCGCACTATAACTTAGAAATCTGGGAAGAATGTTATGTACCAAATTTGATTGAAATCGGTTACGTAGATCCCAAGATCCGCGGTTCCTATAAAGTCATCAGTGTCTCTGGTGTGTTTAGTGCTTGATTTATCGTGCTTGAACAGTGCCGTTATATGGTACCATTATATGGGGAGTGGGTGGAGTTGCCACCCGATTTCATCCATTTTCACATTGTCGATTGAGGATCTAAAAGCATTTTTTCTCAGTGAATTTTGTTATTATATCTTTAGCGGCTTAGGAAATATGCAGATTTAACCTTTTAGTGGGAGGGACCACGCCCACTTTCTAAAGTGCAGATGCCCCTCCCTAATATGATCCTGTATACCAAATTATCTTATCTTGGTTGTGCTCCGATTACGCCCATCTGCAATAACAACCGTCTTACGGTACCAAGCAACATGTGTACCAAGTTTCATAAAGATATCTCAATTTGTACTTAAGTTACAGCTTGTACAGACGGATGGACGGACGGACAGACAGTCACCCGGATTTCAGCTCATCTCTTCATCCTGATCACTTATATATATATTAGGGTAAGCGAAAAAAAATTAGTTTGCAAATGAGAATTCAGAGCAATGCAATCAACGTCTTCGTGCTACTACGTTAAGGGAACGAGAGGCGCGTCAACGAGTGACCGACGCTCACAGAGTAAATGAACGACAGCGGGTGCAAAATCATCGAGCACTGGCACGAGTATCGTTTAATCGCCTTGCGTTTGAATATGACCCTGAAATAAACTATTCATCACATTCGCTAATCATAATTGGTAGTATGGATAAAGAATGTCAATATCATCAATCATGCTTTCGAATACAATAGGCAATCGGCGGGTTTATGTTGCGCATCTGGAAAAATTTACTTCCATCATTAAATCCGCCACCAGAACCTTAAAAAACGCTATAAGCTCACACATGTCAATCAAAGTTGTTTTTTGCGTAAAATCCGTAAATGTCGGGCCCCCTGGTTTTTAAACAAATGTAAAGAGTCTAAACAAAAAAGAATTTTTTCTTGTCCAAAAAAAATTGTAACTTGAAATTTACTTTAAAATTGAGTGGGCCGCCCAAAAATTTTCTTTTTTTATAATCTACAGATTTTAACCTCAGGCTAAGCAAAAAGAAAATTTTTTTTTCACTCCACCCTAATATAATATATATAATAAATAACAATCTCTTAATTTCACTCCGAAATCTTCAGTCAAAACATTGTTGCAACCATACAGTCACTTATTGGTGACTCTATCATTAAAATACCGGGGCTTAACACACTTACACGACGTGTACGAGTAAGTTAACTCAATATTTCTTCAAAATCAGTGAGTTTAATGAAAAACAAGAAAAACCGTTAACTTCGGTTGCACAGAAGCTATAATACCCTTCACAACTATACATACAAGGAGCGGTCAGTTTGTACAGCAGCTATATGCTATAGCAGTCCGATCTGAAAAATTTCTTCGGATATTGCATCGTTACACAATGGTCGGTCTAGTATGGAATCAGCGGCGAAAAATACTACCACTGCCTATATCAAAGTGAAACTTTTTTCTTAGTTTTATATTCTTATAATAAGTAATAAAAAATATTACCATTAATCACAGATAATATTAAAAAAAAAATATTTCATTTGAAGGCAAGATAAGGATCACAACATTTTCTTGAACTCAAATCAACACATAAAGAAAAATACACCACTCGACAGGTTACAGTCAAATAATAATTTTAAGACACTAGGTAAACATATCATATTATTATATTAAAATCACTTAGTTATACAGTCTTATTGTTCAATATTCAATATAAATTAACTTAATTTATTAATATTTAAATTTTATATTACATTTTAATATTGAAATTTAATTTTCTTAAGAAGCCCAAGATCCGTGCATTGCACAGTTCGCTTGATTTGATCTTTTCTAATCTCTCTTTATGCGTAGAACGTACTACAAACTTCGTGTGAATTCGCTATGCACTCGTATATTCTAAATTTTGCTGTAAGATCGTATAATTTCTTCTTTACTTTAGGGTAATGGATATTATTTGGATCTCTATTGTATTGTAGCGTATTCGCATCAATTTTTATTATTACCAGAAATTTTACAACTTTATACCCAAAGAGGCTACTTGAAAGAACTTAAATCATTAGATCAGAAATGAGCTGAACTAACGAAAAAACAACATTTTCACGTATTTCAATACAACTGTTTATTATCGCCTTCAAAATAGGCTCCTGAGCTAATACATGCATGCCAAAGTTCAATCCAATTTTCCATGCACTGCTTGAATGGCCTTTAGTGCCATTTGTTTTATCGGTTTCGACTCATATTTAGAGCGCCATTCGCTTGATTGATAAACAGCTTGGACGTCATATTCATAAACCCACGTCTCGGCGCCAGTAACCACCAATATGTTTGATGAACTTAGGGTCCTTAGCTATGTTGTCAAGCATCTCTTTTGTGGCCTCCATTCGAAATAGTTTTTGCAAGATTCAGGCTTTGGCTTGATACTCAAAACCTGAACCAAAGTGTGTTGAGTCGATCCATAAGAGATGTTGTTATCTCTCCGATGCCAACACGACCTTACCTTAAATGCTTCGTTCCTATCAAATTCGACTCCCCTAAACGCTATTGCAACGTTCTCAACGATTCCGTCTAAATGGACCGGTCCGTATCAAATTTGAGCTACTGTTGATCTGATCGAACTGCATTTCATGTTGTATGTATACAAGTATGTATAAATCATCATTGATAAGCGTAATACCATATAATAATATACCACAAGTATTTTGTTTAAAACCAAGGCACTATTGTATTGTCTTCTCAGTTGCTTTCAAGATTTTGTATTGTTTTCATCTTTAATTTTCGTGGAACAGTTCAAGTGAGCATTTTTTGCTTTGTTTGTGTGTTCTTTTTAATTGTCGATTATAAAATTTATATGTAGTCGTAATAGAAATATAGAATATAAAATCATAAATATATCTGCGGATTTTGTGAAAAATTGGCATCCAAAATAATTTTAAAAGAGGTTCCTCAAAAATTTCTGGATATTTGAAAAGTGGTGAATAAGTCAACATAAGTGAAGTTATCCAGAAGTACTCTCTCAATTATCGTTGTCGTGCTCTAACTCAAACAATAGAAGAATCGGAATTAAAATACGGTGAAATCAGGATACGGGCAGACCTTATTAAAAGTCAATATGACGCTACTGAACGACTTAACAATTTTGTGCGATGTCTGAAATTTTTCAATTTTATGTAATAACCCGTGCTACCTTAGCTTAATCTAAGCTAAAAATTTGTTGCCAATGATCTTAAAATGGACGCATTCGTTGATGAGTAACTAAGAATAATAAGAGTTAATATTTTCTTCCTTTCGTTCCTTATAGTCTCAGTGATTCCGCGGCATATTAAAAATATCAGAAGAGACAAACATTGTTTTGATACCCAAAACCCCCTGTGGAACCGCCACTGTTCCTTTAAATGCTTGATTGTGGGAGCTCTTTGTTAGCTTACAATGATCTGCTTGCTCTCTAATTATTATTTATTCTCATCTTAGCACAACAAATGACTGCGTCAGTAAAGCTTATTGCTTTAGTAGTACTATCCTTTTGGATAGATACAACACTATGCCAAAATAATTGTTTCCCGAAATGCAACTATGGAACTGTGGCCGTCGTCTTTATTACACAAAAAGGTAATGATGTTACCTGCATACTTTTTGGTACCAGGTTTGCTTTAAACTTTTCAATAACTTTGAAATATTCAATTTAGATACGTCAACACCCAGCAATGTAGTAAAACCCGGACATATTAGCAGTTGCGGTTATCGAAATGATAATGGTTTAGTCGCAAAAAATGTTGAAACACCCCATAATGTAGCGCAATTTGGTGAGTTTCCATGGATGGTGTTAATTTCACACCCTAACGGTACATACATATGTGGAGGTTCGTTAATCGCACCAAATGTTGTACTGACAACCGCACATGACGTCATAGACAAGATACCGGAGGAGCTGTCGGTGCGTGCTGGCGAGTGGGATAGAGAATCCGATTTTGAACCGTATAGACACCAAAATGCATTGGTTAAAGAGATCATATGTCATGAAGATTTCGGGCGCAACACCTTAAATAATGACATTGCGCTATTGATTTTGGAAAACTCATTCACCTTGATGCCGAATGTGCAACCCATCTGCTTGCCGGAAATCAATACAAAGTTGGATCTAATTAATTGTGTTAGCAGCGGTTGGGGTCAATACAAGTTGCGTGGAATTGGCGCTGACCAGCAGATTTTGGAGAAGGTCAATTTATCCGTTGTGCCGGATTCTATGTGTATGCGTATAAACTGTAATGCTTTTTATTCCAAACTAAATCTACATTCGAGTTTCATATGTGCCGGTGGCGTACGAGGCAATGAAGAACGTATGAGAGGTAGCGGCTCACCATTAATATGTCCCGACTATAATGACCCCAAACGTTACTATCAAGTTGGTATTGTCGCTTGGGGTTCGGGTGGTAGTGCGCAAAATGTTCCCGGCTTGTATTCGAATGTAATGTATTTACGGAATTTTATTATTAAAAAACTTGAGGAGAAAGGAGTGAACTTATAATATTTTACACTAAAAATTTTATATTAATTTTACAAATATATATAATTCCGCAAAAAAATGTTGTCCATATTTGTTGTAATCAGCTGTTTGACCCTTTAGATCTACATTACAAACCTGTATTTTTGTACATCCAAGAAATGGTACCTGACAGCAATTGGGGAAAGACTTCTGCCCATCCTCATATTTTTGTAAGGAGGTAATTAAGGCGTTGCACAATTGATCGCGTGTAATCAATACATAAATTAACTTACGGATGGTATCAAATGGAAAGAAATTTTACTTGGCATATAAGAGGAAGCGCTTGTGAGTCCCATATCCTCATCAGAAGCCATAAGTTCCAATCACCAGATTTTCATTAAAGAAATCCGTGAAAATATAACATCTTGAATAGTGTTTGGAACGACGTTTGGAAGAAGAAGAAAGAATGTCGGAGAGCCTATAAATTAAATATATGAATGATCAGCGTGAGGAGCTGAGTAGATTTTGTAATCACCGCCTGTCTGTCCGTCCGTATAAATGCGAACTAATCCATCAGTTTTTGAGATATCGATGTAAAATTTTGAACCGCCGGTAACGAATCAAGAAATTCCGTAACGGAAATAAACCTATGTTTAAACTTTTGCTTACTTTTAGGCGTATTTTCGAATATCTCAAGCGGAACAAATCAATTGAAGAGACAGCAGGGTGATTCAAAAATAATAGTATTTAAGATACAATTTTTTTAATGGCAAATAAAAATATGAAATTTAATATAAATAAATTATTCAATATTCGGAGTCATAATATTAGTAACATTATTATTAAGCTATTGCATAGCTTTTATTGCGGGCTTTGAGCGTGGGGACTGAATCAAGAAATTCCGTAACGAAAATAAACCTAACACGCGTAATGTTTGTAAATCTGTCTACATGCAACATATGTATGTTAATATGTTCACTAATTCATTCATGCGACATGTTTATGTATGAGCATGCAGATATATAGACGCAGATTTTGCGAGGCATGGAAAAATATTTTAAAATTGCAAAATATTTTAAATCAAAAAGAACTATGTTGCCATTTTTGTCACTTTTTTTTGTGTTTGCGGGTTTGCAGGGTAGAATGTTTTCGCTTCCAGAAGGAACATCAGAAAGTTGTTCCAATTATGATTTTTAGCTTTTGCCATCGGCGCGTTCGGTAAAATTTGTATTTAAAGTGTTTTGAATAAACAAAGTAAATTTAATAATGAAGAAAATGATGAGAAAATAGTGAAATAAAATGAGTACTCTATATACATACATACATTTTAGTTAGCTATTTTATTAAGAAATTCCATAACGATCACAAAGTATGTGCAAAATGTTTGCATACTTTTAGGCGTATTTTCACATATCTCAAGATGAACAAATCAATTGAAAAGCAGGGAGATTCAAAAATAATAATACTTAACATACAATTTTCTAATGGCAAATAAAAATATAGAATTTACATAATATGAGTAACATTATTATTATTTCGGTAAATAGCTACCCCACCTTCTGGAACAGCATCTCGTTTAACTTGAAGAATAAAATTGAAATTATGTATTTCAATCGGATTATCAATGGTAATAAATTTCCACTTATCTTGGCTGGCGATTTCAACATCAACTTCGCTGATTAAATATCAGAGCGGTTGACAACTTTTCTTTCGAAAAAATTTTATTTGAAAATGAATTATGATCCACAAGAACCCACAACAAAATATTTAACCACCATTTACGCAGTATTTTCCAGATATTTAGAGGATATCAAGCCTTTACGATGATATCAAGTCTCAAACTTATGTTTCTTATTTCAGTTACCATAAACCTATAATTTCAATGATTAAATTCCTGAGTAACCTACATGTACTGTAAGATAATAAAAATATTTTAAACAATATAAACTTCTCATTTATTCAATAAAAGAAAAAAATGTGTTTTATTATCGATCACCACGCTCAAAAAGTGTAACTAGAATTGATAACAAAGAAAAAAAATAGATAAATAATTACAATTGCATAAGTTGATAAAAAATGTTATGCAATAGCTTTACTGCAGCAGTCTCCGAGGGCCACGCGTATTTTTTTTATTCACGAAAACGAGTAAATGTTAGTTAGGTGGGAATACTGTGCTCATGACTCGAACGTCATATTTGAGATACTTATGTACATACATCTTATTTATACTCAGATTTGTTTTGGCACTGTTTTGATCAACGCTTACTCAAGGTCCACGCCAGCGGTTCATACACACACATACATATACATATTTTCTCTTCTTCGTATGCGTCAATGATCGGCATTGGGAATGCCCCGAGTACAGCAATATGTAGTTTGCCAAGTTTAGCTATACACATGTGCTTACATACAAATTTATACAATTTGTCAACCATTCACTAGTTGCTCTTATTTTGAGAAGTTTGAAGCAATTGTGCCGTTAGTATTTATTAAAATATGATGCTCAGTTTCTGAAAATTGATATTTACAATTAATAATGGGTTATTTATTGCGTATAATAAGTAAAAATATACGGAATTGTGGAAATTCCAAGAAAAGCATTAAAAATCAGTGATATGTTGGGACAATTTTATGGGAAATTCATATTTTATTACTCAATATATTCACCTTTTAACTCAAATTATTCTTCAAACCGGAATAACTTTTTTTAATCAATGCATTACATTTACATACATATATTTTTTTTATTGTACAGAAAATTTTATTTTATTGGGTCGTAAATGACCCCATGCTCAGCTACGCATATGCGACACCTAATTAGAAAATTATTTATTGTGGCCTGAGTGGTTGAAGTCTATTATCGATTTAATGGACTGCTACAGTTAAGTCAGATTTCTGGGTTGTGTTTTGGGTATCTCTCGCTTGACATAACCCCATAAAAAAGTCTGGTCCAGTCGGCTCGGGTGACCTTGGGGGCCAGCGGAAAGTGGAGTTTCTTGATATTATTTTGTTTTCAAATTTTCGTTTCATTTCAGTTCTCATTCAGCATCTTTAAACAACGGTGCCCACTGACAGTTACTGTTACACCGTTTTCTTTACAGAAGTATGGACGGACGATTGTTTCTTAAACATGAACATACGGATCTCGATGGTACGGTCTTCTTGCGATACTTCCACATTCGGCAAACATGTTTACCAACCTCATAATGGTCCATCTACTCGGCTCGGAGTGCCGCCAAAATCCCGCCTGAATTCCTTTTGGACCGAAATGATGGACACAGAAAAAAGTTATTACGAATAAGGTTGTATATAGGTATGACGAGACGAGTTGAAATTCGTCCGTCCGTGCAAGCTATAACTTGAGTAAAAATTAAGTTATCTTGATCAAACTTGCTATACGTATTCCTTGGCATCGGAAAAATTTCGGTATTGTAGATAAGCGTAATTAGACCACTGGCAGATAGCGAAGATGTGGATACCAGTTCATGTAGCTGACTTTTTACGAAAAATATGAGCATTTTTTGTGAAAAAGAAATATTAATTTTGAAGGGGAAAGTAAACAAAAATTATTCAAAGTATTGACCATTGCTTTTTACACATTTTGACCACCTTTCTGGCAGTTTTTGGATACCGTGCCAATAGAAACGCTCGTCTTCACATACTTTTCGACTTCTGCCTGGCAAACGAAGTGCAGCCAATGCGTGTCCCATCGATGAAAACAAATGGTAATCGAAGAGTGCCAAGTCTGGTGAATACGGCCGATGGGGTAACAGTTTCCAGCCAATTACTTTCCAATAAATTATATAATGTGATTACATACAAAAATAGTGATGACGTGCTTACAGCTGGACGATGCGTGATGAAAAGGGAAGATGGGGGTACGTCAGCATGACAGATAGTGTAGGTTGAATGTTGCCATATCTGCTTTATAAATAACTCTTGCAGAGTTGCGATGTTCACGTCCTTTCCCCGGATATTGACTTTGAAAAACTTGTCGTTGCGTTCGACTACTGGAAATGGTCCCTCGTACGGTGGTGCATTCATTACCATGAATGGTGCATGAGCTGAGTTATTTGTTGTTGGTGACGGTGACAGTGCCTACATGCGTATGCGTAAATTTCCGACAAATTCACCTTCGGTGACGTTGTGCGTGTGATCTTCGGAAAATATCTTACCAGGTAATCGAAGAGTGTCGTAAACCATTACTGCGGGTGTCGCTTTTAAGTCATCTCTCGATCCGGAACGAAAGCCTAAGAGAATTAGTGGGAGAACTTTAACCCACTTGTCCGTCATGTGGCATTTTATCGCTGCTTTCAAGGATCTATGCCATCGCTCGATGAGCCCATTTGACGCTGAGTGATGCGTAAGTATTTTATGCCTAAAATGCTGGCAAGGTCTCGGAAGAGTGCAGATTCAGATTGTTTTCCCTGGTCCGTTGTTGCTCTTGTCGGTACTCCAAATCTCGCGATCCAATGTGTGTAGAAATTAAAAGCAATTGTTTCTGTCGTCATATCTTCGAGCGGGTATGCCTCCAACCATCGGGAATAACGATCGACTACTGTCAAGCAGTATCGATATCCCTTGCAAGGTGGTAATGGTCCGACGATATCCATGTTGACGTGGTCAAATCGTTGATACGGTAAAATTAATGTTGATAGGCGTGCTCTGTTGTATTTTGGCTCTTTGGCATGGAATGCACTGCCTGGACCATAAGCGACAATCTTTTCGGAGACCAGGCTACACGAACATCCCCGCTATCAATTTTGTGGTTTTGGAGGCACTGGTGTGTGCCATGTTGTGTATGGAGTCCAAAGCTGTTTTGCGAAACGAAGAAGTTAGGTATGGTCGGGCTTTGCTGGTGCTTACATCACAAAATATTTATATGTCTGTACCTGGAACCGTGAAAGGCTTAATTTGTAAACTGGAATTCGAATTAAGTAATTCTTTAAACTCTGAGTCAGATTTTGAGTCTTTGCAAGTTTGACGAAGTCGATGGTGTTTGGAGTATGTATGGCGTCAATGCGTGACATTGTATCTGCTATTATGTTGTCTTTTTCGGGGATTTATCGAATGCCTGTTGTAAATTGT